ATGGGAAAATATTTTGGCAGTTTCTTGTGGTTTCTTTTAAAGCTAAACACACACTTCCATACAATTCAACAATCCTATTTCTAAGGTTTTACCTAAGTAAAATTAATGTTTATTTTCAAACACACAAAAAACGTTTGTTTTTTTTTTTTTACCCAAGAACCTATATACAAATTATTAATAGAAGGCTTTACTCAAAAGTTCCCCCAAACTAGGAACTGGACCCTCGCTAAGTGCCAAACACTTTTCGAAGTATTCTGTGTGTTTTCGTGCTGTGAATGCTCACGACAATCCTAGGAAGTGAGTACTGTGTGATCCCCACTTTACACAAGGGAACCAAGCTACAGGGAGGTTACGTCAGGCATTAAGAGCTGGGATTTAAGGCTGCGTGGCCACAGTCCATAACCATAGTTTAGCCACTACAATATTAATTCCTCTCCATCACAGAATGAAGGAGTATGTGTATAACCCTTGGTCTAGAGTGAATCCTATGGAAACAATCAGAGAAATCCTATTCTAAAAATTCTGCATTGAATACTACCAACTTAGGCACTGCTGTACAAGAAAGTACATATATAAGCATATATAGTTACAGTTAGGCAGGGAGATAGTGTTTGTACCTCTGCAAAAGAAATAGCTGCTGACGTATTGGTTTCATTTTTAAGATGCATTAGTGTGTAAGTATATATACGTGCCAGCCGACTTTTGCAATGACAAGGTTTAGTGCCTTTTGTAAAGCCATAGCTTTGCTTATGAGTGTCACCATGGGCTTTAACTTTTGCCATGAATCTTGACAAATGTCTGAGCCACAGGACTCCCAAGGAGAATTCCCTGCAATTTCTTGGCATGCTTTCACGCTATTTGAATGTAATTTACATACCAGAGACTGTTAAAGAGTCCCGGAACCTGACTGCCTGGCTCCTGGTCTCACCTCTACTGTGTAACTGTGAACAAATTCCGACCCTTATCTGGACCTCCGCTTGGAATAGGACACCGGATGGAGCACCTAGGCTTAGTGGGCCTCCAGCAGAGATGTGATTGTTGACAAATACCAGAAGGGTCCAGCCCTCTGCGCACAGTTGTTCGCGACCAAGTGCCCAGAGCCTGGAATCTTCCCACAGAACATCTTCCTTTGCCATTGACCTTCATACGCTCTCAGTTCATGATTACAATGGCTGATAATAGTTACCATGCGAGCACCCTAACAGGATTAAGAACAAAAGTATAAGTTAGTACTCCGCATGTGTCCGTCTTGGTCTGCATGCTCCCTCTTCCTGTACCTCCACCTTCCCTTCTGTCTGAGGGAAGTCTGAGTCAGCGGGCTCTGATCCTGGATTTGGTTATGCAGAACGCTTTCAGGTTTAGAAAGGGATGGAAAAAAAATTGCAAGGTGTAACCGATATAACTTAGAAATGGCAAGGATTGGTTCTTGAAAGAAAGATTGAACGAGGAAGAGGCTAGTCAGCCAGGCTTATGGAGTCGCCTGGCAGACACTTGGGTTGGGAGGGAGGGGGTGATGGGGAGAGAGGGTCTTTAAGATGCTTGCGACACATTAATAATCCCCCCCCCACACACACACACCTCTCTTATAATTGCATTCAGTTCTTTTGTTTTTGTTTGGGGGTGGTTTTTTGGTTTGGTTGGTTGATGTGGTTTTTCTTGTTTTTGTTATGGGGGTTTTGTATGCTCATTATAGAGACCAGCCTGTGTGAGTCTCTAGCTATACCCACGTGGCACTATCATTTCTTTTGCACGTGTGCGTCAGGCATTGTGATAAGCATTTATGCGTTTTCTCATCTGACCCTAAAACAAAATACTTTTGAGTTCGGTATGACTAGTATCATCACTTTGATTTTAGGGATAGGAGATGGAGGTTCTGAAAGGTCAAATGACGTGCCCGCACTTAGTTAAAGGGCCAGGGCCAGATGTGAAGCCAGGTCTTCTCACTCTTTCATTCAGCAACTATTTACCAAGTGCCGCCTCTGTGCCAGGCATTCTGGGACCCTGAGATGTAGCTATGAAGTAGACAAAGTCCCTTGTCTCTTGGAGCCCACGTTGTAGTGAGGGAGACAGAGGGAAGGAAAGCCAACAAATGAGTAAGTAAACAGCACCACTTCAGATGGTAAAAGACAAGGGGCCCCGCAATCACTAATCCTCGGGAGTCTTTGGGTGGCTGGGGCAGAAGCCTCCAGACTGGGGTCATTACTTTACGGTTCTATCGGCCGCGTCCCGGTCGCGGAGATGCGCTGGGAGCGGCCGGAGCCGGGCTGGCAACAGGCGGCGCCCCAGGTGCGCCCCCCGGACCGCTGCGGGGAAGCCCCGCCGCCGGGCAGCTGAGCTGCAGGTGCGCCTCTGACGCCGAGGATCCGGAGTCGTAGGCCCCTGGCAGCGCTCAGTCCGGGCACTGGAGACCCGAGCGGGCCGGCCCGCAGCGACTGTTGGCCCCGCGCCTCCCTGCCCCGCGCACGAGACTCAGGCCCTAGCCCCTCGCCCA